CAGGATCATGTTTGGTTCGCCTTGTTCGATTCAATCCTCCTAGCATTCAGTCAGTTATAGATAAGCTTTCATTCAAGGACATGGCACCTGCCCTTGTCAAGGGCAGTGCACGTGAGCAGCAAATCAGCTTAAACCTTCTAAGTATGGCCATGCTTGCAAGCCACATGCTCACAAATGTTGAGCGTTAGCTTTTGCAGTTGGTAGAGACAAGAATCTGGTCCCTGGTCTTGTGCCTCTCATTGAGCAAGGAAGTGAAGTTTTGAGGGGCAAAGCACTTGTTTTCGTGGCCCTTCTTTGTAAGAATGGGAAAAGGTGGTTACCACACTTCTTTTGCAATGCACGGTTGCTGTCCATTTTGGACAGATTGGCAAAAGAGAAGGATAGCCATCTGCAGCAGTGTTTAGATTCATTTGTGCATGTTGTGGCATCCACGATGCCAGGCTTGCTGGATAATATAACTGGAGATATTCAGCAAATGGTAGGAGGAACGCGCCATGGACATTTCTCTGCCCTTACTAGTTGAGTTGCTCCAAAGACCAGCATTCACTTGTTTCCGGTTGTTCTCCATCTTCTTGGAAGCTCACCTTTTAAAAACAAAGTGGTAACTCACCAGGTCTTGCAGCAGTTGGCAAACCTCATCCAAGTTGTGGAGACACCATTTCAGGTGAGTAATTGCTGCTGGGTGATTCTGTGTTATTAAGTAATATCTGGTTTTTAACTTTTGGCAAGATGCTTTTGTATTTCATTCTTAGGTCTAGCTATACTTAGATGAAATATCAGCAATTATAATACATGTCTTTTTGGTTAGATCTCCAAATTTATATCTTTGAATAAGGGAAACTGATGTTATGTTATATGTCTACAATCTGTATGCTTGACTGACTAGTGTTGGCCACAAAAATGAGAGAAAAAAGAAGCTAATTGGTTAGCAAAAAAAGCAGAGTTAGTGATGCATGCACACACCACAGATTGTGTATATTTATCTAAGTAACTGGGTACAAATTGCTTGTCCAGTTGGTAGATTTACAGCCACCAGGAAGCATATAAAGTTGATGTGGTCCTATGAATAATAGTCAGTGGTTTAGTTGGTAAAATAATTTATTGTTCTTTTTTACTGACCAAAGTATATTTCATTGGGATGATTTAATAAAAAATAATTTTTTTATTAACTTTTTAATCTCAATATAAGTGGTTTGTCTCTGATTGTAATAATAAGTG